TCTCTCTCTCTCTCTCTCTCTCTCTCTCTCTCTCTCTCTCTCTCTTGGTCGCAATACTCTAGTCTGCTGTGCATTGTAAGAGGTGAATATCTTGTGGCGCGGTACATGCGAAGACCCCAATAATGAGGACCACAACAACAAACAGCACAGAAAGAGGTACAGTGTAGTAGGAGAAATACCACGTCGAACAGGGTTTATCAAGGCTGGTTAGGTCGGGGGGAGCGATAGACCTGGGGGGAGGATACTCAAGAAGGGCATTTCGTCTCCTCGAAAATCCAGGCAACCACGTTGTAACGCATCATCCGGGCTCGAAGGGACACGGAGAAAGGATGTTCGATTCACTGGGGAAGAGGGGGGAATGAATGTTAGATTCACTGACAATAATAATGGAGGCGCGATGGTGGCTCCCCCGGCATGTACCTATTGCAAGACACCTATTCATCTATTTGTATCATGTGCACACATACGTAATGGAAGTGAACTCATGTTGTGAGGCGGTATCAAGTGGGCATGGTGGAGATGAATTTGTGTTATTCAAACGTCAGGTGTGCGTGTAGACGATAAGAGAGGAGGTTTGATGTTTTTCGTCGTTTTTCAGCGAACGTTCCTACATCAGAGGGTGTGTGCTGCATGGGAAGACTGCACTCTGAACTGAAATTTAACATGTGAGCAGTAGGGGAATCGCTTGTTCCAGGTTATCGGTCGGAAATGATGTTGATCGCGGCTGTTCACCCATCGATGCACACGAGATGACTACAAACTACGTGCCCAAGGAGTGTGGTTGAGAAGCTCCACAAAAAACATCATCACAGCGCTATCTTAATATTGTCTGTTTTTCCCTTGTTACCATCCCGCGTCTCTCCATCTTTCATATACTCTCTACTGATCTTCGTGCCCTGCGTACGTCATATTGCAACGTGCTAGCACGTGCCGCGCCGTTGTGGTCTGGTGTGTGAAAAAGGAGTGGTGAACAACATGTTCTTGGGGGCTTCATCTTGTTGCGCGTGGGACTTTTCTACATTCATCCGCGTGCCCCCCCTGAAAGTGACGCCGCATGATGCTTCGACTCGAGGATGCTGACAGCAGCATCAGTGACAACACCGAAGCCGGCCCAGGGACCTGGTAAACCAAGCCTTCGCCCTCACGTGACACCGGTCGAACTCGCTGTCGCTTGTCCCGGTTGTTCACCAAGTACCACGGTCTTGGTGCCATCCCCAAGGGAAGGACGTACAACATTGCGCTTGACACGGTTTTTTCCCTGCTGAGCGTAAGCAGAGAGAGACAGAGGTTCTTTCGTTACGCGTGAAATCAATCTACTAGGGGAGAGCGCATGGCAGTGGCGCGGGGCAGGCAGGGAAACCTAGCTCACCATCTCTCGTCCCAGGCTCAAAGGTGAGGTCGTTGGGGTGAGTCGTTCAGTCGTAAGTTCTCTTTTTTGTAGATGGACAGCAGCTTGGGAAAAAACACTGAACGACCAGGCTACATGAACACGTTCGTCTGACCATGGCTATTCCAGCACCGTTACCAACGTATAGGGTTGATTCCATCAGGTATCACCAACACTCTTTGGTGCTCTACATGTGGGCTATACCTAGTAGCATGGCCTTCAACAGGAACCAAGAACCCCTGCCTCGACTAACACTAGAGCTTCTTACAAGTACGGGCGCTATCTGCATTGTGTTGTCACCTTCGTGGACTGATTTCGTGTAGTCTACGTATCTTGGGTTGCTAGTTTCTCCGGGGGCTAGAGTTTCTGTGCTTGGATGCAGAAGCACGCGTGTGTAGACTGAAGGAGAAATAAATACACGTACAGAAAGACTTGGTATCGACAAATTCGTTGCTATTGGTGCTAATTGCGAGCGCTAACGGGCACAGCTGCGCCAGAACATGATCCCCTTGTGACGCCATGTATCATGTGTAGCGTTTTTGAACATGACCCCCCCCCGGCCTCTCCGACAGTTGTAGTCAGAGTCAAAGAGCATGCTCCAGGTAGAAAGCTGGAGACCTTAAGTCATGCACCGTTGCTGATAGTGCACCCCCACGTTTCATGACAGCAGTGTACGATAATAGGCGCCCAGCCACAGTTCCATTCGAAATCTGTGGGCTCAAGAGGGCAGTGCGTGAGAAGAGCCCCCCCCCGTCCGCCCAACCCCATGTCAAATTTCCACTTTCGTTGGCAGACCACCACTCCAACCACAAATGGATTCAATACCCGCCCCGTCCCCTGTGGGAACAATGCGCCTTCCTCTGTAGGATAATGGCTAACCCCAGCTGAGGCATGCAAAACATGAGTACCCCCGTCCCGTTTTTTGTCGTATGGTACATGTAGGCGTTTATCCTCAGCAGCGAGAAGGCGGCGTGCCGGAGACTTCTTGCTAGGTCGGGGGCACCACGCCGCCGGTGGCCACGCGAATCTATCTTCTCCGTCTGCGTCTTCATCGTCCCTGGGCTGCTTCGCTCCTTCCCCGGCATGCATAAGTACCTCAGCGACCGGCGATGACAGCAGCGCCTGGCGCCACGGCAGCAGCAGCAGCAGCAGCAGCAACGCCGGCAGCGGCGGTTCCTTCATCCGCTGCGAGGGAGGTGTTGCTATCGCCAGCGCGCCCTTGCGGCGCGCTTTCAGCGCCCGAGGATCTACCACACCGGGATCGGCGGTTGCAGCGGCAAGCAGCGGCAGGCAGGGCAAGCAGCGGGGGTGGGGCGAGACGGAGGCCGCAGCTAGCGCGGGCGGCCGGTGGCGAGAGTTCGCCTCCGCTAGCAACCCCCCCAAGCAGTATCTCAGGTACATCCACAGGGTCAAGCCTGACGCCGAGGACCCCGCAGCGGGGGAGAGTACTCCGGTGAGCATGCAGTTCACGGTGCCCCTTGATGTGCAGTAGGAATTTGTATGGTACTGTTTGGAATGGTACAAGTGTTGAGGGGAGGGCCATGGTGGCTTGCAGCGAGCACCCGTCAACAAGTTATTTGCCTGAATTTATATGGAGGGAGGAAGGTTCTGTGGGCCAGTTCTTGTCATGTTTGTTTTCGACTAAAGAAGACGAGGGGGATGGTCGAAAAGGGGTGCCAAGAACCTTGGGGATAGCCGTAGGATGTTTTCTAGACAAGCTCCGAGCATCGGCAGCATGACATAGACGTATTTCGGCATATCCACGAGATGTTTCGTGACACGCTCCAGGAACAAGGAGCATGGCAGACACTCTTGTGTGTTAAGCGCGTAGGTGACAAGTTTTGGGGGGCGAAGGTTATTGCGTCCGGGACGATGCGAGGACCCCGGCCAAGCGTCGTTGGCTGCGGTTGAAAGATCGGAAACCGCTCTGATTGGTGCAGCGATTGCGCCGAGTGCTGTCGTCGGTGGCGTCGAGAACGAGCGATCGGTAGAGGAGGGTAAGGTCGGCGGGCGAGTGTGCCACTTGCCCGGTGAGACGACCAAACTGCGGAGAGGGTCATGTTTCAGTGCCGACTGAGGGAGCAATGTCTTCGTCGGGAATGCACAGACGGGGCTCAGTGGGCGCACGGGTGGTGGAGGTGGGGGTGGGGGGTGCGTTTCCTCGTTGTGCACGCGGGGCCCCGCAGATGGTACTGCTGCTGTATCACTCGCACGGGTGAGCTACTTGTGCCAACGGCACCGACACGGTCCTTCGATGCCTCCCATACGTGGTTCTGTTCTCAACAGGGGTCGTCTCCAGCGGGGGACGGGGAGAATGACGGGCAGGCAGAGGGGGGAGGGGGGGCGAAGGGGGCTCCGGGGCTGCGGGCCGAGGGCGTTGGAGAGGAGGAGGCGGAGGGGGCGGACGATGAGGGGGCGTGGCAGGAGAGGGCGGGGAACGAGATGAGCCGTAGGTGGCTGGAGTCCTTCCATGCGGAGGACATCTTAAGGGACAAGACGCTGCTCAGGCAGCAGCTCGAGGTGCGGTGGCGTTGGCTCGCAATGGTGTCTTTTGTCCATTGATTTTTTTTTGGGAGAACGACACAACAGGGTATACCCTGGTCGAAAAGCGACACACCTGGGTACACAGTCATCAACAGCAGTGAATGCACTCATATCATTGGTCAGCGCCCGATTTCACCCCGGTGCGTCCGAAAAGGCGCAGGGTATACCCTGCCGTGACTACTTTTCTCAACAACTGCACCCTGTTTTCGGAAATGTACCCTGACCTGTCGGGAAATTAGACCCTTTCATCAATCATTTCCCCCGCAGGAATCTTCCCAACTTCTTTTCCCCTGCAACCATGGGATACCAAACGGCCACTCTTCCCGCCCAATAACAACCATGGCAACGGGGCAGGAATCAGTTTCCGCCCCTGCGAAACAACACCAACCGTCAACTCTTCCGCTCTAAGTCAACAATGGCCGGGCAACACGTATCCCAGCACATTTGTTCCGTTTGGAAGCATGCACACGCGCGTACGATACCCCGTGGACGACTGCTTGCTGCAGTCTACATGCGAGACGCACGGGTCACGCTGTGAAAGCGAGACCGATCTAGCATGGTTGACATGCATAGCACGTGCCAGTGTATGGCGCTATGCTGGCGGCGAGCTCGCCCCCGCAACGAGGGTGGAGGGGAGAGGCGGGACCAGCACACACAGACTCTCGCCCTTGACATCAATCAAGCACACACAAGTCTTATCCTTACTCTAGCAGCAGGACACTGCTGTGTCGTGCAACTCGATCACCCTCCCTGTCGATAGAGAGAAGAAAGATTGCTCGCGTTGTATTTCATCGGCTCATCCGGCTGAAGCCTGACGTTTTTACATTACATTGATTGGTCGGCTTGGTCGGCTGGTAAGCGTGACCGCTGCCGCCACAGCAGTACAGTAGTTCAGGCAAGCAAGACATCGCGATTGAGACGAAACAGACAACGCCCGCACGCACACACGGCACATCGCGATTGAGACACACAATAGACAACACACGCACGCACACATGCATATTCATGTCAGCCATGCTGGATCGGTCTCGCTTTCACAGCGTGACCCGTGCGTCTCGCATGTAGACTGCAGCAAGCAGTCGTCCACGGGGTATCGTTCGCGCGTGTGCATGTTTCCAAACGGAACAAATGTGCTGGGATATGTGTTGCCTGGTCATTGTTGACTTAGAGCGGAAGAGTTGACGGTTGGTGTTGTTTCGCAGGGGCGGAAACTGATTCCTGCCCCGTTGCCATGGTTGTTATTGGGCGGGAAGAGTGGCCGTTTGGTATCCCATGGTTGCAGGGGAAAAGAAGTTGGGAAGATTCCTGCGGGGGAAATGATTGATGAAAGGGTCTAATTTCCCGACAGGTCAGGGTACATTTCCGAAAACAGGGTGCAGTTGTTGAGAAAAGTAGTCACGGCAGGGTATACCCTGCGCCTTTTCGGACGCACCGGGGTGAAATCGGGCGCTGACCAATGATATGAGTGCATTCACTGCTGTTGATGACTGTGTACCCAGGCGTGTCGCTTTTCGACCAGGGTATACCCTGTTGTGTCGTTTTCCCCCTTTTTTTTTGTCGTTGTGGTTTGTAATGATAAAGATGTCGCTGTGTAGGCTGGTGTTGTTGGTAAGGTGGTAGTGTTGTCCGGTTGTTGTTTGTAGTGGTGCTTTTTGCGGTACGCGGCGATGGGTGATGTATAGGTCGTCTACACTTTTCCGGAATTTTCATTTGTTTGTCTTGGAGGAGTTCTTGTGACTGAATTTTAGATGGCTCTGGTTTTCTGATGCGATGGTTGGTGCTGCGTGGCGCAAGTGTAATTAGTCTGACGTTTCCCTGCGGGCAGGCGAGATCCACAAATAGGTAACTGCAGAGAGAAAACACAAACGAAATACAGACGCGTACGTTCAACAGGACAGTTCGAGTCGTAGCAGGAAAGGGATCAAACCGATTGATGCTGCTGCATATTTTGTCTGTAGCCCATCGTGTGTGGTTTGGTCCCGTCGTGATCTGTGATCATTCCCGCACCTACCTGAATCAGAGAGGCGAATGGCCGCCTCCTCCCCTCTTTTGCCGCTACCAACGAGAAGACGGGGTTGGTAACAACGGAACCAAGGGACGAAATGGTCACCACCAACCGCTGATGATGAACGGGGCCAAGTCTGTGCTTTTTCCTTTTTCGGCGCACGCTGGACGTGTTTCTGTAGGTGCGGGGCGATTGCACGGTGGATGAGGCGATCACGGCATTCGTCAACCAGAAGGTCACCTCGTTCGTCGTTGTCAACAGGAGAAAGGTCAGTCAGTATGCCATCGTCAGTTCGGTCGTTGTTGTTTCCCTCGTACGTGTTGGTTAACTGGGCTTGTGGTCAGCCCTATTTAGTCGTCTAGTCGTCGTCGTTGTTGAGGTGGTGGTCTTGGTCTGCAGGAGGAGGGGCCGTCAGTCCCCTCGTAGGTGGCTGTTGTCGTTAATATTTGTCGGTGTTGGTCAGCAGGAGTGAGGGTCAGCCCTAGTCATGATCGTCGTCGTTGTTGTTGATGATCTTGGTCAGCATAAGGAAGGCCAACCCCATCAGACGTCGTTTCTTGTTCTTTTTATTGCTGTCGTCGTTCTTGTTCCTGTTCGTGTTGTATGTGCTGCTGATGTTGATCAGCAGGAGGGGTGTGAACCCTGGTGGTCGTGGCCATCGTTGTTGTTGGCGTTATTGTTGGGGTACCCTCACTTGTTCCACTTGTGTGTACGCCTAAGGACGGCACCGGCCTGTCGCGCGCTTGATGCCGTGTCTCCCCGACACGCCCCGCAGTAGTCATGCGTGCGTACCTTCTTGACGCGCTTGAAGGACGATCGCGGGCTTGCGTGCTGAGCTGTTGTCGACTCGGTCGCGCTTGCTTGTTTTCGCGTTGGATTGCACCAGCCTTATGCACCAAACGCATCTCCCGCGACTCAATTGGGCAGAAACGGTCGGTGATCCCCCGCCACGGCAATACCTCCCGTTATTTTCCCCCAATCTGTGATGAAACGGTCATGGACATGAACGAACAGATTCCAGATTGATGGACGACGTTGCCCCCCCCCCCTGTGCCGCTGGTGCTTATTTCGATCCTGGCATGTTGTTACATGGCAGGAGGTGATCGGAATGTTCACCTCGAGAGACCTTCTCGGAGAGCTGGCCAGGTACCCCAACAAGGCCGACGCCCTCAAGACGAGGGCCCACGAGTTCATGATTCCGCTGAGCCGAATGATCTACGCCTCGGCAAAGGACTCGCTCTATCAGTGCCTGCTGGTCATGTCGGAGCTCAAGGTAGTTGGCGTTATCGCATGCATAACTCCTCTATGTAATCTTTGGGTTCGAGTCGTGGACGGCCTATTTCGACCCTATGCCAAACGGAGCCCCATCTTGAAGAACGTATACCCTCTGATATCGGAGCCAAGATTGCTGTACCACTGCCTGTCGTGTTTTCATGTCCCGAAAATGATGCTAACGATATGCAACAGGTACGGAACCTTCCCGTCATCGCCGAGGGTAAGGTGATGGGCATCGTCAACGTGAACGACATAAGCGACTTCAGCTTCAGCATGGAGGAGCTAGGCGGCAAGAAGGCCTACATTAAGAACATCAGCCAGAGGAAAGGTCTCCCGAAGGTATCCAATTTCCAGATCCTGGATTGCCCTCGAGCCGTAGACCTCGCGCTTGCCCGAATTCTGTACGTGGCGGAAACCGATGATGATGTAGAGGCGCCGAATATTTACGAAAACAGACCAGCGGGGCGAGGGGTCTGCGTCGCCAGCCTGCATGATAATTTTTTGTTGCATTTTTTTTTGTGTGTGTGTTTCCCAGGATTGGATGCTTGCACATAACGCTACGCGTTTGCCACTGAGGAGAGTTTGAGTTACGATTGCGGAGAGGAGTTGGCAGCATGCAAAAGTAACACTTGTTTTGAGCTGTTGGTAGGGCGTGTTCGGTAACGACTTCAAGGTACAAGTCCTAGATTAAATACGCTTCGAAAGAATACGTCGCGGTGGATTGACCGCAGAACTTTGTGTCAGCAACCAGGAATTTGATCGACGTTGAAGAACACGAATCCGCAGAAGCATATGAAACGAACGACACCAGCAGTAGTCCGGAGGGGTACGAGAACAGTAGAGAGCGGGTTTTACCTCAGATCCCCCACCTATGATGAGCCCGAATGACGAGGTTTAGACTCTTACCTCCGGCCCGCATCAACTCCTCAGGATGCCCGCGCACTGTCTCGATTTCCCTCCCTCCCGCATGGACGCCCGCCACCTCCCCAATCTGCCACAGTAGTTCAACCTCACGGGCCAGCCCACCAAAGTCCCCCCGCCCTACCCTCACACGGAGGACGGCCTTGGCGAGAAATTACGTTGATGAGGACATGGCAGAGGGAGGGGGTGCACAATCGCCAACCCTAAAACCCTACCCCTAACCCAACTTCCCCGATTGCGTACTTTATTTGCATCATGTTTACTTCAGCAGCGAAAACAACCTGTCAAGGCTAGTGCCTCCCTCCGGTTCCCACGCTTTCTCCTTTGTTTTGTTAAGGGCGTCGGGCTTGACCCTGGTCAGAACCGGTCCGGCTGGAAGCAGACCTTCTCGGCCTCCGTGGGAGCTGTGGCCCTGCCACACCCCCACAAGATGACCGATGGGGGGGTTTCCGCGAACAAGAGGGAGCACAGGTGACAAGCTTGCCCCCCCCTGCTCCTCCCCCTCCTCCTGGCCTTTGTTTTTCACTGGTCAGACGGATAGATGGTAGTCGCGACGAGGATCGAGGTGTTGTTGTCGTCTTGACATGAAGAACGTTTCCGGTACCTGTCATCCAGTACGTCTCTCCGTCTCGGACGGTCGATTCATGCCAAGCGAAAAAGACACCCACCCCCCACCGCACCGCAGGCACCTGGAGGTCGCCGATGACCCCACCCTCAGCGAGGATGCTCACTTCGTGCTGGACGTGGCCTGGCCTACGGAGACGACGGACACGGTCAACTACGTGGGCCTGGCAGATGGCGTGGGGTCCTGGCGGAGGGTGGGCGTGGACCCGAGGGAGTTCAGGTGAGGAGGAAGGGGGCTCCGGGCAGGGGCGGAGGGGGNGGGGGGGGGGGGGGGGGGGGGGGGGGGGGGGGGGGGGGGGGGTACCAATGAAATCACATGCTTTGAGTCGTGAGACAATCATCGATCTCGCATCGGGTGTTCCTATGTAAATACGTGCCGTAATCGTTGGAAAATCATTGAGCTCGCATCCCCACAATGCCGGGACCGAGCGATATACGCCGTCCCAGGCTACGTTTTACGAGGATGACGAGGAGGGGGTGGGGTTGTGTTTTTTCGCCCGAAAATTCGCCAGACCACCCACTGACCTGCTGGCAAACAGAAAATTAGCAGTTTTTGAACAGTATGCGCAGGCCACCAATGGGACTTGTGTTTACTGTTGAAATCCGTCAAGGGTTCTTCATGGCGCTTGACTCTTTCGCACGTGTTGTGCACTCGCTTTGGCCGCACAGTCACCGCCTTATGCACTGGGCGAGGGAGTATATAGTGAGCATGTCGCCCGGGTCGGGAATAGGGGGAGAGGGCGTCATGTCCCCTCCGCCCCCCAAGCCCCACGAGGTGCTCATGGCGGCGTGGGAGTACACCATCGGGGAGAAGGCGAGTGTGTTACCCCCCCCCCCCCCCNCCCCCCCCCCCCACCGACTGTTGACACGTTCCTGTGCGCTGTGCCGCGGGGATGAACCGGATGTTGTGGATGCTGCTGCTGCAATTATTGCCATCGTTGGTGCTAGTGTTGCCCTCGCTCTTGCTGGTGCTGGTATGGGTATTCTTTGTGTTTGTATGAATCGAGGGTACCAACGGTCCCAACTTCGAAGAACAGGTTAAACGTCTAGTTGCTGCCGCTACTGTAGTTGTTGTGGTTGTGGTTGTGTGCGTCGTTTCTGCTGATGTCCCTGTAGCTCTTGCTGCTGCAGTTGTCGATTTTCGCAGGCTCGTGTGGGTGCCTCCCTAGGGACTTCACAGACAACACCAGGAATCTCTCTCATTTTCCAACGATTTTTGCGCCCTGCGTTTCTAGCATATTTTCCAACCAACGAAAGACTAGTCTTGCCGCGAGTGTGGGAGAAAACTTGCTGAATACCAGGCTATTATTGAGTCTATGTGAGCCTTTCGCACTGTTTTTTCAGCGATGCCAGCTGCAGCGCTATTCACAACATCAAACTGTATTTTAGGTACAATGTTCACATTTTTCATTGTTTTTGCGCCAGGTGGTCGGTAGCAGCACGGCCTGCGTCGCAGCGCTGGACTACGACCTGGAGCAGCTGAGCTTCAGCAACATCGGAGACTGCGGGGTCGTTGTCCTTCGGCACATCGACTCGGATGTTGCCGGCTACATGAGGGAGAAGAAGACGCCAAGGCACCTGAGAGAGTGAGTTCCGGTTTTTGATCGAGATCTGTGTAGGTTTGGATGTATGGTGTCGTTTGTTGGGTAGGGGAAGATGGTCATACAGCGCCCCCTGCACAGCGAGCGAGGGCCGCCTCGATCCATGTTGCTTGCATGCGAACAGGGCTTGTTCTTGGAATGGCACCTATTATAGTGTACCCTTGGTGTTAACATGTTTCCACTAGCTTTCGGGATCCGCTGGTAAACGTGTGCCTTCCATGCTGCCTGCTCCTATCGCTCTCTCTCCCTTTCGTGTGCGGAACAGCTCTGACCTCCGATTGGCCTTCATATCTCAGCAGCAGCTGCGCTCCTTCAACCTCCCGTACCAGTTTGGCTACACCAACGTCCCCGAGGTAAGTATGTCGACGTGGTATGCAGGGCTACGGTTCGGGCACCCTCCCCCACCGGGGGGGGTGTACTCATAGTCGTGCATGCCGTAGTCGTTAGACCATTGACCTCGCATCCCTACAAAGCCGGGACGGAGCACGCCGGGTTCTCACCGGACCAGGCTCTCACATCACCAAGCGCGAAGCGCCGTGAGATATTCGGCGAGTCGCATGAAGGGTGCGCTGCATCCTGCTAAGGGTGTTCGGCATCTTGTGCTTACTTCCTTGCGTACGGATGACAGCTGCGTATGACTTAATTTATTTTCTGGTGCTTTCACTTCCAGAGACAGTTGTAAGCACTGTGTAACTGCCTCGAGGGTGCTTGACCATTTTAACACAACGTGGTGCGATCATCCCCCTTGCGCGGAGTGAGGGTTCTCCACCCCGCACAACATGATCTACTCGACCACCATTATGGTTACCGCCAAAAAAAAAAACGGAGGTAAAAAAAAAAACGGTAACCTGGTTGCCGAGTTCACGAAGTGAATTGGCTTGTTTTACAACGTCGTTGCCAAGCGACGAAAACCCAACCCCGATGGCAAACACCAGGGGGCACCCTCCCCCACCGGGAGAAGACAATTTCAATATTGTCGCGGCTCCCATATTACAGGGTACCTTGTACGTTGTAAGAGGGGCTCCGATTGGTCGGAATCGGTTATCACGGACTGGACCCGCTACAGGATTCTCCGGTACCCTCTTACTCCGGTAATAGAGGAGTCTCCGATGGAGAGGGTCAAGGCCTTTTGTCACAACACCGTGTGGTATCGAAGCCACAACTGTAGGAAGGCCCGGGACCAAATCAGGGAGAGCAATGTTCGTTGGCGGCCTGCCGAATATGTTGCTTCTCTGCTCGGCTTCACGTCAACGTTGTGCACCCGCAAGCTTCCGCATCTGTCACCTTGCACCTTGTTGCCCATATTGTTGTTGTTTGTTGTCTTTTGCTGATGGGTGTTGCTGTTGCTGTTGTTGTTATTGGTTGTTGGTGATGATGCTTTTTCTGGTGTTCGGTCAGGACAACGCCAAGTTTGAAACCCCTCGAGACGCCGTCAACACGTCCTTCCCGGTGAGGCCTGGGGACATCATCATCCTTGCCACCGACGGGCTGTTCGACAACATGGAGCTCGAGACCATCTCATCGGTGAGGGCCATGACCTTCCTCATTGTGCTGTCGTCGTCAATGTTGTTGTAAATGATAGTATAGTTTCGAGGGCGTGTGGTTTGTTTGTTGCGGCGGGGTTGTTTTGGGGGTGCCCGTGTCTCTCACGCCAAGCGAGGTCCATACCCTCATCATGTTGTTTCGATTGCCAATGTTGGTCGCCGTGATATTATTGTGTTCAGGACATCTACATGTAGACGTATACATCCAATCAATGAAAGGCTGAGTGTACGAGATATAGCCACAGTCGGAGGTGATTGGTTGAAGTCCTTGCAGTGACTGTGTCGGGGTTTGTTATTGGTAGGCATTTTTGTCGGCGGGGTTTGGTGGGGAGGAGGGAAGTGCCCGTGTTTCTCATACTAACGTTTAAGCCAGCGACCCTGGTGGCAGAAAGTCTTGTACACATTTTCCATGACGACCGCCTTGTTTACTCTTTCTTGCCTCTGTTCCAAAAATGAAAAACGACCTCGCATGGCCATCTCGCGTGATAGCTTTCCGTCTTCCCACCATTGTTGAGACACGGTGTTAAGTGGTACTGCGTATACCTCGCTTTCGTTTTTGCAGGTGGCACTGGAGTGGGAGACGAAGTGGTTCGGAGGGCCCATGAGGGGCTTGAACGAGCACAACAACGCCGCCCTGGAGGATCTCGCCGAAACCTTGGGACACAGGTGTGTAAGGGGGCTCCGCGTGTACCTTTGGAATTTCTCACGCCGCCGTTGGTATACCACCAGAAGAAAAATCTGTCCCAGGTATGCTCCCTCCCGTGGTGGACAGACCAGCCGTCTTTGGACATGAAGAACTAAATCAGTCCCCTCACTGGTGGTTGCATGCTATCCCACCAAATCAGTGTATCCAAAAGGTTCACACGTGTTTTGACCTCCTTACCACGCCACTCCTTCCCGCGACCCTCTTATCGTACCTATCAGAGCGCGGGAGCTGTCGCTGGACAACACGAGGGACTCTCCGTTCGCCCTTCTTGCCAAGGAGAACGACATCATGTGGGGGGGAGGCATGCCGGACGACATCACCGTCGTAGCGCTTAGGGTCATCAACAAGGCCGACTCCACCGCAGAGGTGTGTCAACGCTGGGTATGATGCAGCACCCTTCTCTGCGTTTTGGTGCTTTTTGTCATGATACCCCCCCCCCCCCCCCC